AGTCGGACAAAGAAGAATCTGATTCAGAGATGGGGTCATTGGTTGATAGTGTGGGAGATGAGGAGTTATGGTAGAGAAACCTGAAGACTACCTCAGCACAGGCATATTCTTTGCCGAAGAGGGGAATGTGTTGAAGGATGCCTCATCTTCATGTTCAGCGGAAAACAATAGAGGATGTAATATATTCATCAAAAAAAATAGAGGATGTAATATATTCATAAAAAAAAAATAGAGGATGTAATATGGTTACATATAAGGAGGCAGTTGGGGTAGGAAACCAAACCCCAAACAAGGGGGAACCAAACCAAATTTTCATTCTAGGCAGGGTGTCCGTAAGGAGATAGTGAAGGATCAACTGAGGCTGAGCAGGGAGATTCCAGTTAGGGATAAGCAACAGAACAATGGGAGTGCTCAGAGGGTTAAAACAACCACAGGAGGCTTCCCAGATGAAACTCCAAGTGCGGAAATTTGTGAGCTCCAAACACTTGAACAAGAAAAAACAAGTCCATCTAATTTGTTGCGCCTATCCCTTTCCTGAAACTATGTATAACCTTTGTTCTGGAAATTTTATTGAATTTTGGGAACACGTTTAGTTGTGCAATTCACTCTTAAAGGAATAATTCCCCTTACTATATGCCCTTTCCTAACTGCAGAGATGAGACCACTTTAACATTTATGACTTACTCTAGAGAAAAAGACCTAATTGATGCATATTCCCTCACTGGTGCTCTCTTTGTAAGGCTAATGATGAGACTTTCTATCACTTATTAATCTCCTGCCCCTTTGTTTCCTCAATTTGGGAATGGTTTTATTCTTTGTTTGGGAAGCAAACCCCTGCCAAATGTACAAAGCTTGTTTACCTCTACCTTTGTTAGTTGACCGAAGAAGAGGAGAAGAATTTTATGAAGGTGTACAAGAGCGGCTGTTTGTTGGACAATTTGGTAAGAGAGAAATCAGAGAGTTTTCTCAGAAAAGGAGAGAAGTAGGGTTGCTTTAATTGAAGCTATTACTATCAGAGTGGTTCATTGGGTGAAATCCTTGAAACTTTTTGAGTACATTCCTATGACTTGATGAGAAAACGGAAGGAAATGGCTGACTCAGCCCCCCTCAGGGATGTCATTGGGCATCTTGGTCCCCACCAATTGGGTGATTCATATAGCTGAACTTTGTGGAAGTAGTGATGGAAATCCACACCCTTCAGGCATTGGACGAGTGTCAAAAATGATGAAGGAAGGATCATTGCTCTTTATTCAAGCCTAATTGGAGAGGGTGATCCTCTGACCACTGAAATAATGGATGCAATGGAAGGAGTACAAAAGGCTAAGGAAATGCATATTTACAAACTGATTATTGAAGGGGATTGGATTCAAAGTTAGTAAGAGGTTGGCTACAAAAAGGAGGAGGATGCACTTATCAAAAAAAAAAAGGAGGGTGCTAATTGGTGGGACTACATTAATGAAAAAAGGAGGTTCAAGTGGCTATCACAAGGAATGGAAGTTAATCTACAATGAGTGAAAAGAGATGCTAATTCTTTCATTGATGCATCGGCTAAACAAGGGGTGGAAAGGAATCAACTATTTTGGGCTTTGTAGTAAACATGTGTAAGGGAGAGCTAAGAAGGTTTATCTCTCCCTTTTTTGCTCCTTGTATCTCTTTCTTTTAATTTAATGAGCCTGATTCAGTTATTGATCAAAAAGAAACCTGAGGAACAAATAAAATAGATGATAAAGATTGTTGAGAACTAGGAGTAGATGATAAAGATAACTGAGAAATAATGGGCAACATAAAGATAAAGTCAGAGACTGGAAACAACCATCAAGTCAGAGACTGGAGTTGATTTTTGATGGTAGCTTGCTAGGCAACCCAAGCCTGGCAGGAATTGGGGAATTCATTAGAGATACAACAGGTGCTATCAAGGCATTGTCTTCAGGCCCCATTGGAGTTCTTGATTCTATTAAAGCTGGAATAATGGCCTTGCTACAAGATTTAAGGGATGGGCAAGAAAGTTGGACTCTAACAATTGGAGGTGGAAAGGGATTCTAAAGTAGTTATCTCATGGTTAAGCAGCAACATCCCAGGAGTTTTAGACTTATAGGTAGACAGTAAGGGAAATTGAGTCATTCTCCAAGGATGTGGCAGCTACATTTAGGTGGATCAGGATAGAAAGTATAATGGCAGACTCTTTAGCCAAGCAAGGGGTTCACAGGGAACAATTCTTTTGCACTAAATTGTATTGGGATGTACTGGAAAATGATATGGGTGAGTGGGGTACTTTCCGTCCTGTTGTATTTTCTCATTTTATCATTTTAATTTCATGAAATTTAGGTTGCTTATCAAAAACAAAAGGAATTGCTACTCCTACACCAGAGACAGAGGAAACAGTACCATTGGCCAGGGTGACATGTTGAAAAGACTTTAAATAGGGATAAATTGTTAAAAGGAAGAATAGGTACCTATCATATGGTTTGTAGCTCTCCCAAGTCAATGACCGATGGAGTACTAGTAGAAAAAGAGCAGGATGAGACAATACCTGAAAGTTTGGGCAATAGTAGTCGTGGAAGAAGAGGCATGAGGTGTAATTCCTCTCACAATCTGGTGGTGCTCACATGGTTAATGACTACACAGCTATACAAGTGGACTTCTACCATAGTCAACAGTCTGCCCCTCAGACCCACAACAAAAGCATGTCCAAACTCCATGTAAATCTCTATAATACCCAATTGTATGTCCCTCGAGTCCATAGTGAATACAATATCTACCATGACCACAACCACCTCCAACCTTAGATCAACCTCCTGTAGAGCCACATCCACATCCTCCATGTGAACTACTACTACAACCACCAGGTCCACCACATCCTATATATCCACTAACTTCCAAGCTAAACAGTTAACAACAGGTGTAGTCTGTGACTTCAGAAGTCTAGCTTTTCAGAGTCATGAGAAAACTTCTTCCATGGATAGAAAGTCAAGACTACCCAAATTTGTGATTTCACTGATTCGTACTCAGGCTTAATTCTAGATTAAAAAAAATGGCAACATAGAAATAATCCCTTCAATTGCTTCCCAAATACATTCTCCTAACTTGATCTCAAATGTGCTTAGAAGTATCCAAGAAAATTAAGCTGATACTAACATTAGGCTTGATGAATTCCACAACCAGATCTTTATTTGATCATTCTCTTGCAGCCAATCAGAGTAAGAAGGCCTAACAGATTTAGGTTTCTTTTCATTAGGTACTTAAGTTTCCCCTTTGTAGTCAATAACACCTCAACGGATATAGCCCACATAACAGATGTCGTCTGAATGGGTAAAAAATCAGGAGATACCACAACAGCAGATTTAGACCCCATGTCAGTCATAATTAATTAAATAAATTCTAAATCTGGTAAACCTCACTTTAACACAATCAGCCAGTCATTAAAAAAAATGAAACTAGACTTTCAGCATCAATAAACAACTGCTCACCTTTTATTACACAAAATCACACCATGGAAACTCCATAGTATGCACCATCTTCACTGATTTCAATCATAGCAATCACAAAGCCCTCAAGGATTGCCTTGATAGAGGATCTCACATCACACATCACTCAAAGCACATAGAGCGATGGTAGAACCATCATAAATCACCTAGACAGCAATCAACATTGTTCTGATCCTCTATCCTCTATAGAAAAGAAAAGAAATAATGGAGAAGAGAGAAATCAGATAAGAGAAAGAGAAAAAAGAGAGGAACAGAAGGTAAGCAAGCCTGCTCTGATACCATGAAAGCCTTTGTACCTGTTCTCAACTGAGAGAAATGGTGAATAAGGAAGAAGACCTATTGCAGACTGGGAATAAGAGAAACAACCACCCCCCTCTTTGGGTGAGTCGTTGAATTAATCGTCTCACCTAGAAGGCGGTTGGGTACTTATATTACTCAATAAAATATATCAATTACAAGAATCCCTGCTTAGTATCAGGACTGGGTATGTCCTTAATAAAAGAATGAAAATGACTAAACTACCCTTCTGTCCTAAACAGACGATAACACAAAAACAGCCCAATAACAGAACATTATAAATCCTAAGAACCTAAAGAAACTCCTTAACAATGAGAAAACATTGACTCACAAACACATCTATGGAAAAGTATATACTATTAATATAATTTATATTTTTTTTCAATTTTAACATTATATTACTCAATTAAATATATCAATTACAAGAATCCCTATTTAGTATCAGGACTGGGTATGTCCTTAATAAAAGAATGAAAATGACTAAACTACCCTGCTGTCCTAAACAGACGATAACACAAAAACAGCCCAATAACAGAACATAATAAATCCTAAGAACCTAAAGAAACTCCTTAACAATGAGAAAGCATAGACTCACAAACACATCTATGGAAAAGTATATACTATTAATATAATTYATATTTTTTTTCAATTTTAACATTATATACTTACAAAAAATGTTGCCTTTGTTACCAAGTATCATTTGATCTGAAAAATGGATCTATTTTGTAGATTAGCTGTTCATATATGCCAAATAAGCTAGGAAAATAAAAAGGAAATGGTATGTAGAAGTGCTCCCAAGAAAACATTAAGTGTCAGCCTCAGGTAAAATGTCCGACATGACGTGGTATCCACTGAGGAGAGTCCATGCAACCCTAATATGTATACATGTGAGTGTATAGAGAGAGGGAGAGAGAGAAAGTAAAGCATATGCAATGATCAAACATATGATAGCTTAGAGACAGCAATAACAAGCACATACTTGAGACAGCATGGCATAAAACAATGAGCACACTATAGACAACCTATAAATAGGAATCCAGAAACAAGGATAACTTGATAAATAATTTCCTGTTTTAACAAGGTTTAGGGTATTAGTGCACTGCACTTGAAAATAATTTCCTGCAACTTGTTCTTCAAGTTTTCAGTAAGTAAACAGGGGAGTAAAATACTTAACCTAACATTGAAAACCAGCTCATGATATATTGTTAACAAGATTACCTCATCTGGAGAAAAGAATGCTACTGCATCAGGTTCTATAGACCCAGCTGGATGCAGTGATATTATAGCTCTAAAAACAGAAGGCACCAACAACTCAACAGCAGCAATCTGATCTGCTGACACAGGCCCCAGTGACCCTGTTCTTAGTCTATTTGATGTCTGGAAATTATTTTCTTTTGATGACTCTATGAAGTTCTCATTTGTTGAAGACGACAATGCAGAGGCCCTTTTTAGCCAATCCAGGTGTTGGTAAGTAAAAATCCTCATGTTAGGTGCTTCTTTTTCCACTCGCAGTAGAACTTCAGGTAATGTTTTTTCTTCACTAGGCTCTTCTTTATGAGTCAAGGTTGATGCTTGGGAACTGCAATGTTTCTTTGAAACTCCAGATTCCACACCAGAAGTTTGGCCAGATGATTCATCTTCAAGGTGGGGAAAAAATCGTCTCCTCTGATCAGTGAACGCTTTAAGAGCTAACCTGCAACATTAAAAAGTATTGGACAGGAGGTTCTCAGATACTGGGTATATGCATGATGTGCAAGAAGCAGGAGCCAAAGTATTGCATATCCCTAACCAAACAAAATAGGAGACTTATGAAGCTAACAAACTTTGGGAGTTTGGCTAAACAAGAAGCTCCAACAGGTTAACAAATTTTTGACATATCTGGAACTAATACTTCAAGCCTGGCACGGGCCCAGCCCAGACAGCAAATAAAGAAAAGTTTAAATTTTAGTTAATAATTATAATAAATGTTAAATTACCCAAACATAATACTTGGGTTTGGACACGGGGTTCTTTTTGCTTCAATTTTCGCTTAACAAAGACCATGCATTGCACAGGTCCCAGCTAGAAATCCACACACACTAAAACAAGAGAGGGTGTGTTTTCCTTCCTTTTTTTTGAACTTTGGACTTTTTTTATTCCATGTCATATTACAGAAACAACCAATCTTGAGTGAGTCCCACCAATTGTTGGCATTCCAACAGTTTGTATGCCAAGAGTTATATAATCCTCCCATTAAGGAGGACGGGGGGGAGAGAAAGAGAAAGAGAGAACTTTATTCTCATTCAAATTCCATTTTTTGTTTCATATTTAAATTCCATTTAATTGGTTAGTTGTCGTAAATTATAATTTAAAATCCAATGACTAAAATTAATAGAGTTAATAAAAAAGTATTTTAGCAAGCTTTTATCCAACAATTATTAAGAAATTAATAAAAAATAATAGCTCATAAATTAAAAATTAAAATACATTTGAATTCCATTTAAAAATAACTAATAATAGAAAAATTAAAATTAACAATAAAAAGTAAATAATTATTAAAAGTAATAAAAACAAACCATTTGCATTCCATAGAAAAATAATAGTGGCTCAATTGGAAATGTCAATAAGGCCTTCCTTCTCCTTAGCGATGATCATTTATGACCTAGACCAGCCCGGCTAGACTTGCAAATTTCTGGGCCAGGCCCAAGCCCAGGCTAAACAACCCCTAAGTTTGACCCAATAGTTATATACATATATGGTAAAAAAACAACACAAAAGATTGGGTTACCACAAGTACTAGTCTTGGACAATGGGAAGCAGTTCGACAACATCAGATTCTAAGATTGGTGAACGGAGATGGGAATACACCAGAGGTTCACCTCAATAAACCAACCCCAAACCAACGGTTTAGCTGAGGTGACCAACCGCATCATTCTCCAAGGGCTAAAGACCCAACTCAACAGAGCGAAAGAGAGGTGGGCAAAACTCCCTAGTGTACTTTGGGCCTATCGGACCACAAGTAGAATGGCCACTGGGAAGACACCCTTCAACCTCACCTGTGGCACTAAAGTTGTTATCCTTGCCGAGATCGAGGTGCCCACTTTGCGAATGGAGACCTACGATGAAAAGTAGAACAACAACGAGCTCAAAACTTAAACCTAATGGAGTTAGTACAGGAGCAAGCACAAGTCCGCACAGTCGCCTAACAACAGCAAGTAGCTCATTGTTACAATGCACATGTCTAAAGAAGGAATTTCAGAGTTGATGACCTCGTGCTCAAAAAGATCATTGTACCTGAGGTAGGTTCAGGAAAACACGACCCAAACTGGGAAGGCCCATACAAGGTGGTAAAGGTGTTGGGATCTAGGACCTACCAACTCGAGACTCTAGATGGCTGTGCTATACCTCGCACTTGGCATACCATGAATCTAAAATTATATTATCAATAATGTAGTTGGTTGATTATTAACGGAATCACGAGTTGTCCTTTCAACACTTATATTTTTACCACATTTGTATGCCTCAACTCAGCTCGAGTGATTGGCTGTGACCGAACACCAAGATGGAGCCATCTCATAACCCAACTCGTAACTGAGTTGAGATAACTCCTCGGTTCAATTTGACATGAAGAACTGGGAATAACTCGAGCGACCTGTTGTCAGCTCAGAATAAAGGAAAAAAGCGGTTAGGGCCAATTCCAACTCGACTGGCGTAGAAATAAATGGGAAAACGGGTAAGTCCAAAAACTCAGATCATCCACACAACATTAACAAAAAAAGGCTCTTTGTTTCATTAAGGGCGACTAAGTACAAAAAAAAAGAGAAACCAAACTACAACAAGTCGAGCGTGAAAGCTCAGACAATTTAATATTGTACAAGGGCCAAGAAAAGAGGCCAACAGACTCATGCATCACTGGGGGGCATGTTGGTGGTGGCCTACTCGGTGATCGTGGCCACCTCATCACCACCCCCTAGTTCCTTCCTCTCCCCCTTCCTCCTCACTCTCCTGGTCAATGCTGGCAAAGAGCTCCTAGGGAACATTATCTATCTTCAATTGACCAACGGGCAAGTCAAGGAACAAGCTTGCCGCAAAGAGCTTGCACAACCTGAAACCCTTCTCTAGGTAAGGTACAACATAATCAACCCACTCGTCCACATACTCCTGGGATGCCTTAAAAGCCCTAATAGCCTCCTTCCGAGCTTCAACCAATAGCTTGCATTGAATTCTCAACTCCTCGGCCCTCACTCTCTCCAGCTCAGCCTTCATCTCCTCGACCTGGGCCTGCAACTCTAGCACCTTCGCTTCAGAATCTTAGACATTCTAGGACAGCTCTACCACCATCAACTAAGGCTCGGAAGGATCTAAGACGAGCTAGTTATATGGCCGCTCAAAGATCATGGTGATGCCCTAACCCCTGGCAATCAAAGGAGGTCGAGTTGGCGAGCTCTTCCTCCTCCATCTAGACAGCCCTGTCCATTTCCCTAAAGTCACTATGTTTTGGAGAGCCCGACATGGAACCCCAAACTAAAGAAAAGACGAGAACTCGGGAAGGGAAAAACTCACCTAGGATAGGAGAGAAAAGAAGACTGAAGGAAGACCGACCCGACGACCTACGACTTGGGAAGCTTCTAAGGACCAAGCTTCGACCTCTAGAGCAAGACCCCTTCAAGTGAGTAAGTGTGAAATGGACCCCCCTTCTCCTCACTATTTATAGGCGGGGATGGTAGGTCTCCAACGGCTATCGCCCTTCATCCAATGGCTAAAATTCATGACGGTTGGGCTTCCCGAAAACCAAAACCAGTTGAGCACGTTTTTTAAGTCCGCTTCAAGTTAATAAATGGCATTAAGTTTGCGCGTAGAGAGGACTCGACCTGTCAGAGCGAACCGAAGCGACACTTTGCTCGCATACAGATCAACGGATTTTGAAGGAAAACCTCACGATGGAGAGTTTGACAAGAATCGACTTTCTAGGGTACTTCCTTTACCCGAGTAGAACCACCTCGACCTCGGAAGTGGGGGGCAAGTGATGGGGGTAGAAGTGTCCTCTAGTAATGCTAGAATTTTTAAGGAAAAGGAAAGAAGGAAGAATGCTTTAATGGAAACTGTTCTGATCAGAGTAGCTTATAGGCTTAAATCCTTGGAAGCTTTCTCACATGTATCCTTTGATGATATCTTTAGAAACTAGAAGGAGGCTGTGGATTCAACTTCTAATAAGCAAGTTATCAGTCTTGTTTGGTCACCACCAGAAAGAGGGTTTATCAAACTAAATTTTGATGGAAGTAGTTTGGGCAATCAAGGTCTGTCTAGAATTGGAGAAGTCTTCAGGGATGAGGAAGGTAAGGTTATTGATTTATTTTCAGGCCCAGCTGGTGAGGGAGACTCTTTAAGGGCAGAAGTAATGGCTCTGATGGAAGGGGCACAAAGGACCAGAGCTATGAACTTGAGGAAGTTAATTATACAAGGAACTCCGAACTGGTTATGACATGGCTGCAGAAAGAGGAAGCTAGGATATGGAGATACAATATTGAGAAGAAGAAATTTCAATGGATCACTAAAAATATGGATCTAAGGCTACAATGAGTAAAAAACAACTGCTAACTCTATGGCTGATGCACTAGCCAAACAAGGGGTGGGGAGAAATCATTTATTTTGGGCATAGCTATAATTTTTGTCGTACCTTTAAGGCTAAGAGAGCTTATTTCTCACTGTCTTCTTTGTGTTGTACTCATACTCTTTTAACTTTAATGAAAAAGTTACAATTATTGATAAAAAAACAATTTAAGCATAAACTTTAAAGCTTTTTATTTCTTTCCCAATTGTATTACTCTAATTCTATGAGACGCTTTTTATCAAGCCCTTTGAGGCAAACCCAAGTAAGTTCATGCTAAGGTCTTAAATTCTTAATTCCTACTTGAAAAAAAAATGGTTTTATAATTTAGTTTTAGTTCCTTATCTTTTAAAATATGTCTTGTATTAGGAAAAATGAAATGAACAATATATTGGCAAAAAAGAGGGGTTTTGATGCAGGATCTTTGTGATTCAGCATTATTCTTGCAACCAACTTGCGTCTAAGCGTGTAGAACAAACAAAGAACGAATAGAGAAAGAAGAAAAGAGAAGAGAAGAGATGGAAATAAGATGAAAACCCTAGGCAATTACACACCTAAGGGTGAGGTGTGAGGGCAATCACACCCCTAACTTGGCAACTACACCAAATTCTGTAGATAAATTTTCTTTGTTCATCAGCAAAAACTATCCTCCAAATGAGCCTCAAGCTTAATAAGAAGCTTCCAAAGGAAGAAAGTTGCCCCTCAAGTTAGCTTGCCCAACATGTCACTCACAAAAAGAAGCTAGATTAAACTAAACCTACTCTAAACAATTACAAATATAAAGCCAAACAAAGGGAAATTACTAGACTAAACATAAGCCCCCCCCCCCTAAACATGCAAAATTACAAAAATACCTTTGCTGTCTAGAAATGTAAGAAAGCCAAATAAGTCCTGTCCATAGCAAGCTCAACCACACAAAGAGCATTTTAAGGTGGAATGAAGACTCTAGGGTCTTCCCAAGTTGATCCACTACTAACCCAGCTCCCATGTGGGCCCCATGTCTTCGCAATGATGCCAAATGAACATAAAAGCAACTTTGGTTCTCTTTTGATATGCCTTAAGTTGATCCCCATCAGGTTCTCACAGGTACACGCTTGTGTCACAGCGCAAGGAGCACCAGGCGCATGCCTTTCTAAAGTCACACAAGCCTTGAAATGCACCTTGCTTGTGCGCCTAAGGTTCACCTTTCAATAACTGATTAGGTTGTGTTTGGTAAGAGTGTAAATGTTGAAGTGAAGTGAATTTGCAAGCAGTTCATTTTTGCACTCAAAATTTGTCAATGTATAAAAGGTAGATCCCAGCCTCGGAATTCGTGTTTGTACCCATCACAACCAAATGCAGTTGGTAAAAATACAAAAAAAAATATCAATGCAAAACCAAACCAAGTTAACATTTTCATAAACCAAACATATTTGCATTTGCACTCTTACCAAATACAGCCTTAATAAATCAAATCATCACAGACCAAATGTTCCATACAAAATTATAAGATGTTAAATCCCTGATTATTCCAATGATGGCACACTAACTTCAGAGGCACACTAAACATGGTAAACCATCTCCTCCACTTGTATGTTTCAGGAAATTGTATACAAGTTTTTTACCTTTGATGCATTCCAACAAATAATAAGAGGTAGTATAATTAAGTAGATTTGTTTTTCTAAGCAAGGATTATTTGGAACTAGCTAAAACAAAATTAAAAAGAAAAATTGAAATTACTCATTCTTTGTAAGAACTTTGGGATCTAAAAATGAAACAAGATTATCCTAAATAAATACCACACAGAAAAATTTAGGAGAAAAGATAGAGCAATTATCCAGTGAGTATAAGAACAGATAAAGTAAGGAGAAAAGATGCATATGAATTGTTTCCCATTTGATACATTCCAATACATAACAGAAGGTAGTACAATTAGTACAGTTTTTCCTCTAAACATTGAGTATTTAGAACTAGTTAACATAAAATTAGAAGAAGAAAAAAAAAACTGTAAGAACTTCAGAATCACAAAATGGAACTAAGGTTATCCTAAATAAATACCACACAGATAAATTAAGGGAGATCAGCCAGCTAGTAATAAGAACGGATAAATTAAGGAGCAAAGATAGAGAAATTTTCCAGCTAGCATAAGATATTTACAAGTTAGACAGATCTGCTACCATTATGCATTTTAGTGAACAGAATCTTCTACCTGGTTCTGTCAACAGCTGATGCACCAGCCTGACCAGCAAGTTGACGTTTCCAAGCATATGCAACAACAGCACCATCCGGACAAACAAGGGGCATATGTAAACCCCAAGAGTTATTTCGTGATCGAAGAGAATTCAGAACCCCAGACTCTTCCAGTTGTCTTCCTAACAATTGGAGAATCCCATTGTTTAATGATCTCAAATTAATTTAAAAAAAAAATGCCTTAGGGGGGGCATTTGATAACAGCTAAAGTGGCTGAACTGAAAAACTTATTAATTTGTATTTTAGTGAATAAATTTTTAAGGAGGTTGTGGGATCCTTAACGACTGGAGCTGAAGTTGAGTAGATAACCTTTGAATATTTATTATTTACTTATTTTATCCACTAAAAGACAAAACAATGTCTTTTAGTTCAGCAACTTCAGCTGTTATCAAATGGCCTCTTACTGTTACACATCAATAGAATAAAGAACAAAAATGCTACAAATTCATAGACTAAACAATAGCAATTCTTCAAAAAGCTTCACATAGTTAAGAGTGTAATAAACAACAAAAATGAACTTCAACTTCATCTAATCTTTGTTGGGGTTGTGTCTTATTTTTCAACCGCTGGATTAGTTTTTAATCTAATGGTTGAGTGTGATCCATCCTTAGGTTAAGGTGGATTTTGCAAATAAAAGGTTTCTTTTGCATGTAAGGTTTAGGAGAAAGAAAGAAGTTTGCTCTTTTCCTTGTTGAAAAAAGAGGTTGAGAGAATGAGGGTGCTCTGGTGTAAGAGTGGGTTTTTCTTCTTCAAGTTGGGAGAGGAAAGGGAGAATGGGTATACAAGGGCTAAGGATTGGTTTGGGTTGCAAGCCACAAGGTTCTTGTACTGTTTCTCTTTTTTTTTTGATAAATACTGTTTCTCATTTTCACTCATAACGAAAAATGGTTTACACCTCTCCCGTGGACGTAGGTGGTTAAGGCCGAACCACATAAATCCTTTGTGTTCTTTGTAGTACTTGTTTTTATTTGTCTTTGATTGGATTTCATTATTTTTGTTGCTATTGGGTTTTCTTGATTGCTATTTCATTTCAAATACTTTGTAGTTTTATCCCATGGATGGTTGTTGTGAGCCCCAACAATCTTGCCATCATCACTGAATTTCAAGACCTAAAAACAAGAATATGGAGATAGTTTCCATTATGGCAGCTAAAATAAATAGTCTAATAAAAAGGCTAAAAATTCATAGAAAACATTTCTTTTCCTTTAAAAGATAACTTTAAAAGAAGACAAGAAAAAAAAATCAGCAATAGGATAGGGGCTTAATGAGCACTGATAGCATAAAATAGTCTGACAATGGCTAATCAAGATATATTTATCCGTAGAAAAATGCCTAAACAGGACATACTGTCCACAATATGACCACTGGATTCAAAGAACAGAGAAAAGAAAATAACAGATACAATTACTAACTTCAACTCTATGGTGAGGCTGAACCAGAAGTGGATAGACTCTTTTTATGGTCAATAGTTCAATGGTTTGTCTTGTACTGGCTCAGGTCGCAATTTATAACTTTTGAAACAACCCAGCTTGCAAGGAATAGCTTACTAGCCTCCTATGTTTCATCCTTACTACAAACATCGATAACTCCATGGCATTTCTTCTAAGGAGAAATATATACAAATTCTTCAACTAATACTCAGCTCTAGGTTTATATATCACCAACTGAAGTTAAAAAAAAAAAAAAAGAAGAAAGAAAAAGGAATAAAAAGCAAACTAAGTCGACAGTAGAACTGTAGAACCCTAGCCTGGGAAATAAAATTAAACAAGAACATAGGGGATCAATTGCTAAGTGTTGTTACCGACTGCTCGAAGATCCTGAAGGTGCTGGCGCATTGTAGCCTCTTCGTTGACAATCAAATGCAAAGGCTTGTTGGATTGATGAGGTTGTGCAGCGATAAAGAGAGCTTCAAGTAGGCGATCAGCGCCCAGTCTGACATCAGCAATGAGACGAGCCGCTTGCCCTAACCTCTCCATCGCCAGAGCCACCTGCTTCGGAGGCGCCTCCGCCGTGGTTTCACAAGATTCCAGTTGGTCTGGCTGTGTAGCAGACGCCACCGGCGCCTGAGGTTGCTGCTGCATTTCTTTTCCTCGCTAGTTGCACTTTCCGGTGAGATCGCGTTCTACCCACTCCCGTTTTTTAGTTCGAATCAACTGGTCCACGTCTCTTAGGTCTGTCAAGTCTCAATGGTCACTGGGTTGGGCCGTTGGGGTCTGGTCGTCTGGACTGGATCTGGGTATACCCGCTTCCGACCCGATAAGAAAATACACAAACAGACAAACAGGGTGTATCCGAGCCGAACCGACCTGCCTATCTATTCGAGCTCGGTTCGCCAAAAGAATGTTAGGCTTGAACTCGAATTGTAGGGACTTGAATTCGAATCCGGCTGGGCTCTAAAGTTCATAGTTCAAGTTTGACTCGGTCTAGTTCGGTTATGAGCCAAATTTCCTTTAAAAAATAAAAATTATACATAAATTTTTTTATTTTACATACAAAAATTGTTTATTACCATACATATAAAAAATAAATATACTATATATAATATTATTATAAATATAAAAATAAAAAATATATATTTTACATACAAAAAATAAGAATTATAATTTTACAAAAAATAAGAATTATAAAAATTATTTATTATCATATATAAAAAATAAAAATATTATATATATATAATATTTTGAATATATATGTATGTATGAATTTAGCTCAAGCTCAGCTCGAAGCTCAATTTAAACCAAGCCAAATCAAACTATTCATGAGCCGAACTCAAATAATTCATGAAAAGCTTGATTCGTTTTTACCCCTACTGTCACACCCCTTGCAGTTGTACAAGATTTCCTTTGTGTCTAACAATTCTAAATAACAAACCATGTTTTTTCCTTTCTCCCATCTCTCTCTACTTTATTTATATAGCTTCAAGATTTCCATTGTGTCTTACAATTCTAATTCTAGATTATATTAATCATGTCCCTCCCTCTCCAAATCTTATCTCTCTCTACTTTATTTATTTATTTATTTATTTTATGTGAAAACATATTATCGGTGTAGGATGATTTGGACCGAAGTCCATTTTAGTGCTATGTACTTTGCTCTTGCCCAAATGAAAATATCTAAGATATGTATTCTTTGTTCTAATTTCCTGTGTTCTTAGCGCTACTTGTAATTAAGCATGTGCATTGCACGTATGAATTTTTTTCCATATTAATTACTTGAATTTTAGATATATCATAGTTAAGATATAAATTGAAAATTAATAAAAATAACAATATGATTAAAAAGAAACTTAAATACTTGTACTAAATGCTTACGTGAAGAAATTTTAAATAATAATAATAATAATATATTATTATTGTTATTATTATTATTATTGTTATTGTTATTATTATTGTTGTTATTATTATTATTATTATTATTATTATTATTGTTATTGTTATTATTGTTATTATTGTTATTATTGTTATTATTATTAGTATTATTATTATTATTATTATTATTATTTAATTATGGCATTATTTATTAACGCATTTGACCCCAAATGGTTGAATTGCTTACCCACCACCGAGAAGGAAGAAAATGATTTTGTTTTCAAATTATTTTTCAAAATATTTATTTTTATATTATTAAAATTAATGTTGTAGATTTAATTAATAGAATTTAATGATGAGAAAAGTATATCTTAAATATATGATTTAATAAGAGAATATACCTTAGATATGAGATTTAATGAGAGATAATAGGAAAATAGTTTTACTTCCAATTGGTTTTAAATTGTACATTCCATTTCCATCATTGATAAATAAATTTCTTATTTATCATCAATGTTTTCAAGTTGTTGTTGACTTTGCTGATTGAACTATTCAAACCGTCACTTGGCTTTGATCTTAAGTTTGGTTCTGTTGAAACATTCCCCCTTTCAGTTAAAAACCATCTAACCCGAGTGGTTCAAACAATGCCACGTTCGACCTAGTGCAAGTTGCACACTTAATTATGTGCAAACTTTTGGAAGCCATAACTTTGCACTTTGATGTCTGGTCGGGGTTATCTTTCTTTTTTGAGTAAATTTTCAAGATCTATACGTTCCAAGGGCCTTAGGTACCTTGCCTTATGGTGTGTCCAGAAGCGCGTCGTTAAACACTCCGGAACACCAGTTTAAGCATTTATAATTTTTATCGTTTTTCAAACAACTACTAATGTAGTAAGTGGGTGAGAACGACTCGTATCCACAGAGAAGCAAGCGAAAAATTAATATATACTTAGATTCAGACAAGAGAATGCAATCGGGAATGGCAAAAAATACGAAAATAAAATCTATTATTGTTGAAATTAAATGTTTCGAATTTAAACAAGACAATAAATAAAAATCAGAATATAATAAAGTATGGGAATCAAGAAAGGAAATAAAAGAAATAAATAAATAAAACAATCCAAAATCTGGATCCGATGGCAGTAGCTGCAGATCGTCTAGACAGCTTATAGAAACCCCTCCTGACAAGAACCGAGCATCCGTCCTTTCTACAACCTTCGAACCCCTCGAGACACCTTAGCCTTGAACCAAATGAATTCAAATCTGCAAAACAGAGAAACGAACAAGAATTAAATATAAAAGATTGTAGAAATAACAATAATAGAAAAGAAAAGAATGGTTGATCAAATCCAATGGCGGTAGTTGCATAATGGTTGAACAGCTTGTAGGAACCCCTCCTGACAAGATCTAGGCGTCCTCTCCTTCTACAATCCTTAAACTCCTCAAGAAACCTTAGCCTTGTTAACTGGGTGAATTGACCAAGCCCTTCTCCAGGGCCCCTAGGGTCCTTTTGATAGATAAGAGTGGATATAACAGAAATTAGAGAGAAAGAGGGGGCGATAGTTGGGTTTTAGCAAAAATATGGGTGTCCTAGGGTTTAGAATGAAGGGTTAGGATGGTCCTAGGGTGATCCTAAGGTTGAGAAGAAAAGGAGAAGGCACACAATATTATGTAAGGCTGAGATTTAATGGCTAAAGGCTAAATGGTGAAGATTAGAAGTTAGGTGGCTCACAGAGTTAGGATGCTAAAAGGAGAGTGCCCTAGAATGGATGGTGGAGATTAGAAGGGATGGAAGGTGAGGATTTAGTAGTTAAGGGTGATTAGGGTTTGTTCAAAGTGAAAAGAATGGGTTAAAAGGCGCCCTAGGGTTTGCGAAGGCGTGGGGAACATGCTAATACAGTAGGAGGGGCGCCAAACTGGGTTTAGCAACTAGGAGGCGCCCTCCTGCTTTCAGTTTTTCACAAAAATACCCCCTCTCTTAGCTGGATTTCACACCAACTTCCCAAAATCTGCATTTCAGCCATGAAATCTTCATAATTTTCCTTAGAATTTGCACAGAAACCCTTAGAGGCCACAACATTGCATTTAACGAAGAAAATGGCACATCTTTACTATTATAAGGCTGAAAATACCCCAAAAATGATGCCCTTAAGGCATCAAAATGTAGAGTTATCACCTTGCTATTTTCATGAAAAAGAAACCCCTTTTTTGGCCCCCAATTGTAATTTTTATAAATAAAAAATTAAAATCTGAATAAAAGAAAAAATAAACAAATGTAACATAATACATATATTATATGTAATATATGCAAAACATAATTATAAAATATTTGTAAAACAAAACTATAATATATGTAAAACATAATTATACTATTTATTGATAAAATATGTATTTTTACACACACAAACACACATATATAGTGTTGATGCAGAGCGGTTTGACATGTTTGACCTTGATAGTCAAACTGGTGACCTGTGACCCGATGACAAAAGCGGGTCTGCCTCTAGGTCGGTTTTTAAAACATTGTTTATCATACTTACTGATGCTGCGCGATCCGGGCACTCCTAGCTGGTGACGGATGGTACCTGAGGTGAAGAGGAAGGTGTAGAATTCTCGGGGAGCTCGCCCGACGGGAACACTTCGATGCTTAGTTAAAACTCTGAGAGAACTGAAGAATACAAACAAAGAGCTAAGAGTGCAGATGGCGCAAGTTTAGTACCTTGGCTTCTCGGGGGTCGAGGTCTTTTTATATTGGAGATCTCTCAAATCAGACGTAACCGCCTCTGCCACAGCCGCTACTGCTAGAACCGAGGTGGCGGATGCAGGCAGCCGTTGCAGGGTACGGACCTGTCAGGCGTGCCACATCTGGCAGAAGTGGCAGACACGACGCCGCCTGACAAGAGACGTGGGCGTAGCCTCTAGATTTGGCAGGTACTATTGTCAGGCAGATCTTTCCTACAGGTGTCCGAGCTACTTTGCACCGAGCTGCCTTGGTCCGAGCTACCTTACACCAGGGTGCTGGGGGTACGCCGAGGTGCTTATGCTTGAGGCGAGCCTTAGGTAAGTATGAGCAAGAGTGTTAATGGGGCTGTCCCGAAGTGTTTCCACTGAAGGGATGAGAGATCCATCCTATGGACGCCCAAAGATTGCGGAATAAGGGGTGAATTTCAAAAATTTTATCTCTCCCTCCAACTGGGAATCGTATTCCCTATTTAGAAAATCATATTTTCAAGGATCAATCTTGAACCATAAACTGAACCAGAT